GTTCCTAATTACCCCTAGTCCATTGGGTTTCACGGTGCCACCGTCCCGATGCTTCCGAACCACCGTCATCGACTTAGATGTAATTTCTCAGAACTCCTACAGACGGAACCACAAATTCTCATTCTGCATTGTTTGCTATACGCCGATAAGTCTCTTTCGATGTTCTTTCTTGTTTAAATATTTGGACCGAAGAGGGATGAAGTGACAGGAGGTTGGAGAAAACTGCATAATGAGGAGCTTCATAACTTGTACTCTTCTCCAAGTATAATTAGAATGATCAAGTCAAGAGGTTGAGGTGGACAAGGCATGTAGCACGAATGGGAGAGAAGAGGAATGCATGTAGGATATTGGTGGGAAAGCCAGCAGGAAAGAGACCACCGGGAAGACCAAGACGTAGGTGGGTGGACAATATTAAAATGGATCTTAAAGAGACAGGATGGGATGGTATGGATTGGATTGATCTGGCTTAGGATAAGGACCAGTGGAGGGTTCTTGTGAACACGGTGATGAACCTTCAGGTTCCATAAAATGCTGGGGAATTCTTGAGTAGCTGCAGAATTGGCGGCTCCTCAAGAAGGGCTCAGCTCCATGAGTGAGTACAAAAGAAAACAAACAATCTCCGTGGTTTTACAGAGACCGCGGCTTGTCGGCGAAGTTAGTAACTAATAAACAAATTAAATAAGTAAATACATATGTATTTATTTTGTTTGTTTATTAGTTACATGAGTAATTTACAATTTTTAAAATATGGCACCGTGAACCAAGCCTCGAGAAAACAATGTTAAGCCTACTAGTTGCTCTATCCCTGTATGAGAGCTCGTGAAGTAGGAAGTAGATCCACTAATAATAATTTTTACGTGGACTGAACAATTTTCATGAAACTGGGAAGTGACGTTATGCTACTGAATACACCAACATACCTAAGCATCTTTCCTCAGTCATCAATAATATTAACACTTCTGCAATGTAAACTTCTGAGCTGGGAACAACGCCGAAATGTATGGCTTTTACAGCTGCAAAGGCATGCGTGTGAATAGGGATGGGGGGCAGAAACTGCTTCAGAACTCAAAATATTCAAGCTGTTGCAACAAAAGAGACCACAATTCAGACCAAGAACAACGCACTATTTTTTACGCGGAGGACGGATAAAGTTGTAAGATTTGAGGCTTTCACGGCGGTGACTATGAAGAAAGCAGTCTTCTGGGATTTGGCACCGTGTATAAGTGGTGTTAACCGACGTTTCGGAGGAATGTATCGCCTCCATCTTCAGGGTAGAAGAAAAAGTATAAGAAATCTGCAAGCGACAAGACCTGCTTTTACCGTTCTCACGGTCTTGTCGCTTGCAGATTTCTTATACTTTTTCTTCTACCCTGAAGATGGAGGCGATACATTCCTCCGAAACGTCGGTTAACACCACTTATACACGGTGCCAAATCCCAGAAGACTGCTTTCTTCACAGATAAATTTATTTCGAAGTAACTGCCGGCCAAGGTGCCTCAAGAGGAAAGTTATGTACTGTATTATACAGCAATGGGTGATTACTGACGATAATATAATTATTTCTGGATGTGATTCCCTTAACCAGAACTGGTGCTCTCGGGAATTAAACTTGAAAGGGCGTCTCCAACAAACCACAGCAGGAAACACTTCCAAATGGAAAACCAACCCAATAAAAGCATCTGATGAAAAAGGTAAAGCATTCCCTGTGACAGACCATGGAGGCTCATGGGTTTGTGAGACGTCGAGGTTCCAACATTTTCTAGAAAATTAGCTCACAGATGACGATGAGGTTTTCAGCCTTATACGCTGGCCGTCTTTTAGCCCGGGGAATATTTCTGGTACTCATTTCTACTAGAGGCTCAGTCATAATGCGACTGCAAGGATTAAGTCAGTTGAAAAGTCCCATGACTTCAATCATCTGATGTAACTAAATATTTTAAACTATTAAAAAATGTTCACTTTACAATACATATAAGCGGAGCTTGTACCATTTTGCACGGAAAATTAATTAAATATGAAAATCAATATACATTTAATATCCTGTGACTACAAATCACAGTAAAAGATAAACGTTCTGTACTCTAGAATTCCCAAGGTATGATCCTTGAACATAATTGTCGATAAATTAATTCCAAATGTGATATTGTCCCGTTGTCGAAACATAATGTGGCTTTCTTTTTAATGCTAGTGGAGTGGGACTAAGTCCCTTGCGCTGCGGCCACTTCGGGCCTATTGTACCAGCCCCAGATGATAGGTGAGGGTGATTGTGGAGCAATTGGTGGAATGAAGATTGGCAGGGGAAACCGAAGTACTCGGAGAAAACTTACCCCAGCGCCATATTTTCCACCACAAATCCCACTTGACCACACCCGGGATCGAACCCGGGGCACCGCGGTGGGAAGCCAGCGACTAACCGAATGAACTATGGCGCGGCCTCAAGTATGTGGCTTTGTTGTGGGTTGTTCCAGAGCTCATACCTTCGACATGTAAGACAACCTATGAATACAGAATTGGAACGAATTTAGACAGCCGCAGTCGTGACCTATTCGACGTACTATACCGAAATATATGTGCAGTGACTGAGGACAACCATATAGAAGCAGAGTCAGTACAGCCAGTGTGCTAATCCAATGAAACGGATGAATACATTGTGCAGGTATACAGAGTTCTTCAGTGTTAAATCACGCGGTACATATTGCAGCTACTGACATTTAAAGGCTTAAAAGACTTTGTAATCAATCGCACCTACGCCTCTGGTTTGTTTGTGGCGCATCTGACGGCTCAAATTACATATTACCTATAGCCAGGCTAAGATGGCTTGCTGGCAGCGGTTATGCCTGGAGGAAGAGAAGACAACCATGAAACATCCGTCAGAAGAGTTTAATTAAAACTTTTTGAATTTTTGGGGCGGGATGAGCCTGAGTTCACGTGTTACGTCTGTCAATATTTGGCCTATTCTGCCAGCCCCGTATGTTGATGAGTGTGGAGCAGTCTGTAGAATGAGAACTGCCAGAGGAAACTGAAGTACTCGATCAAAAAAAGTCCCAGTGCCACACCAAAAATCCCGCTTGATCTGATCTGGGATGAACAGGAGCCGCTGCGATAGAAAGCCGGAGACTAACCGTCTGAACATGGCACAGCCTTAATCAGAACCATTACAGACAGACCTGGTAGAGATTCGAAACTAACTCCTGCAGAATACAAACCAGAAGCAACACTGGTCGCTGTGGGACCCCTTGCACTGATGTCCGTGCTATGCCAGAATCAGCTGTGTGCTATTTGCCTTGTGCTCTGCCTCCAGACCGTTCGTTTTAATTCCCTTGCAGCTGGGCCCAGTGCGTTAAACATCCTAAATATTGATGCGCCGTATCAGACGCGCGGCTTCACAATCTCCTTGTTTCCACTCACAGACACTTGGCTTCAGCTACAGCAACGGACCTCACCACAAAGCCCTGGCAACTGAAACCTCTCCAGAATCCAACATTTGAACATTTGTCTCATTCTATAACTGCACCACTGTCTTCGTCCGTTATATCGCCTCCTTCTTCAGTTGCCACCAAGAGGCCGCCCCATAGCTCAAGCGGTTAGTCTCTGCCTTCCCACCGCGGCGGACCGGGTTCGATCCCGGGTCTCTTAAAGTGGGATTTGTGGTGGACAAAGTGGCGCTGGGGGCCGGTTTTCTCTGAGTACTTGGGCTTCCCCTGCCAATCTTCGTTCCACCAAATTCTCCATCATCATAATCACCCGGGGCAGGTACAATAAGCCAATCAGTGGTCGCCATGCCGAGTGGACCCAGCTGGACTCCACCCCCACTAAGCGAATTAAAAATAGTTCTCACCAAAATCTTGTGTTTCGTTTCTCTCGCGCCGAAACACTGTATCTTTCTTAACGACAAGGGGGTAAGAGCACACACAAAGCCCCGTATCCAGGGAGGCAGTAGTAAGGGTATGAACTTGTACTCGGGAGGGTTCACTTTTAATTTCGGCCCCGACATTGGCAAAAGTAAGGTTTTTCTTCACTTCCCTCAGTCCCTCAATACAAATATACTGTATTATCACGATTACGTCGCAAATGCTTCCTTTCAAATCCTAGCTCCTGAGAATGGACCGAAACGGACAGAGCCCTTGCGAGAAGACAGGGCCCCCACAGACCCATCTGCCTAACCTCTCCACCGTCCGGCATTCCCACCATTCTGCGCCAACGTGGCGGCAGGTTCGAATACCTCCACCGTAGCCCTGCGAGTCTTAGTAGGCAACGAAAATGGAACCCAGTGCCAGGGGGGTGTAACTGGACCACCCTGTTTCTGGGGGATATAAATATGGGGATCTCGCCCTCCCGGTTGGGGGAGTCTCGAGTGTGAGACAGTAAAACGTGGTCATGAGTCCCGTGGGACTCTGACCTGAGAACGACTGTGCTGGCGAGAGCCAGCAGCAATTGTAAACGGCAGAACCATCCTCTCGTCAGAGAGGATCTTACGTAGGAACAATAACCGCCAAGTGTTCAGCTAAAAAAATACTGGTCGTGGGGTCTCATGGGGCTTGGGGCCAAGAAGAACTGATTGGAAGTAAACAGCCAGAGCATGAGTCAAGTAAAAGGTAAAGTTGTCCCTGTGATTATGTAGTTAAACATACTGATATGAAGACACATGGTTGGAGGCATAGGAGGCTGGGTGAGCCCCAGAGCCTCTCTGGACATAGTGAAGAGGAGACTGTTGCACTGCAGCCCGTAGCTATACCGACTGAGCTATCCCGTCCCCTCGATCATTCTGCTGCATTATGAATTGTTTGGGTAGGTTCTGGTAGTAACACAGTCTCTTCTCCTTGAAGTTCAAACCAGAGAGTGACGGCCTCTCAGTACACCCATCCCTATCCATGTTGTTTAACATGACTCTAGCAGAGATCAGTAAGAACCTGACAGTCGGATTCCATTTCTGGCTCAGTTTGAAGCTAATTCTGAGTGCGTCTTACGCTAGAGGTAACATCGCTTCTCTTTTGTTCTAGGTTCTGTGTGGGCGACCGCTTCTACCTGTGTGAGAACAAGATCCTCTGTGAGTACGACTACGAGGAGCGACTCGTTTTCGCCAACATGGCGTACAACCCTCCCAGCATCGCCCACATCAAGCGACACTTGCCGCCGCCCCCGGTACGCTGCCCGCCCCTTCGCCCCTCCTTTTAATGCCGTCGCCAGGTAGCGTAGTCATCTGCAAATAGGAAGAAAATACGAAGCCACGTAACATTGTGGCCAACTCTTGCGGAAGTGGGCTTCGGAACGACAGTAGTTCCTGTATGAAATGCCATGAAATTACGCCGAGCTTGTCTTTCATTTTATGGAGATCGGTGGAAATATCTGTTGAAGGATGTGCAGTACTGTGACATGCAGACCCAATACCAAGTAACAGGTGTGTAAACAGGTGACAGTACAACAGCCGTTCCACGGGAACAGCCCTGCAAACACGCCGTTTCCTCGGTAACGACAGAACATGCAATAATAAAAGAGCCGTTTTCAGTGCGGTCCGTGTCGGCGAGTGAGCTCCAGGAGAGTCACTCCCAAGTAGAAAGGAAGTGACCCAGTAATAGTCAGACACCTCCCTCATTGAAGAGAAGGCCCCAGAAGTCTGGAAAGAACAAAAATATGTTCAGGGGTCCCGACAGTACCCTATACCAATAACGACTGTGCTGGCGAGGGACAGCAGCAATTTACTTGACCGGATTGGATTTGAGTTGGTGAGGAGAGAAGGAGTTCCGAAGTTTCCAGGACGCATAAGGCAGTAAAATATAGGACAGGTCGGAAACCCACAGGAAGAGGAACGACCAACGTTGAAAGCCGCTACCAAGCAACGAGTTATATGCCTCAACTATATTCAACTATCAATGCGAACTCCGTGTCTAGTTACTAAGATATGACAATATAATTAAACGCTCGATTAGACAACATGTGCACGAAAAAGCTACTGGCAATTCTTGTCGCCAGTTTGCAGAAATTCATCTATCAGCGTCGCCATGTGTCACCACGTCACCATCACCTCGTGATTCGCTACACCGATTTTAAACAAATTTGATACTCAGTCGTTTTACTAATTTTGTTTAAATATTTCAAGTTTAGTTAAAAATCGGACAACAATAAAGACATCTTTACATGAAGATCTACACGCGTTTCTGTGCATATCTCGAACGTAACTCCATAAATATTATCCAAGCAAAAATATTTTGAAATATATGTGGGGAGAAAAATAATATATACACAGTAGCTCCCACCAGTACATGCCTTGGTTTATGGGATTATTTCCACATATCAAAATAAGTAAAATGTTTATTTTGAATATGGTACTGGGGGCCTTGCTTAGAAAGCATTTAGTGACAAGTTTTGACAATGGAAGTTGAAATTTGAATGGCTGTTAACTTCTTAAGGAAAGCCCTCAAGGATATATTTTCATATCAGCTTTTTACTTGTTTTGCTGTCCAGCGAGAGGGTGTCGCGTGGTCAGCGCGACGAATCCCCACGGCCGTTAATTTCGGTTTTCTACACCTGACTACAAATTCCACGAATAACAAAATTTATNATCAGTGTGTTATACACCATCGTCAGAATCCTATAGTAACTAACAAAATTTATAGTACAGTAGAGACGAAATATGAGAGAACGGGTTGGGGGGATGAGCCCTAAGAGGAACCCAGAAAGATGTGTCAACCAACAGGAAAGGAAAAAGTAAGCCGTCTGAAATGATGGATGGATTGCTCTGTAACAGCCGTAAGAAGGCTCAGTCGGCCTAGTAGTGGGAAAGCAGCCGACTTTCTGATTTACCTCATGACATTGTCATTATCTACTCTATATAGCGCTACAGTACATGATGATGGTTACACACAGACTAATGTTCTCAGACCGTTACAGACTCTACTAGCCGTTTCTCGGTAGCGGCTTCAACGGCGGACGTCCACTGAACTGCAGTTCCTTAACTCACTAACTCGCCAACCAAATCTTCACTGACTCCTCAATAACAGTCCTACTTGTAACATCTCGGCACGGACAGCGCAGAAAACACCGTTTCTGTGTTGCAGTGCATTTGTTGCCGTCGAAGCATGTTTCTTTGCGGAACCGTTACTAAGCAACGACTGTAGTATTTCGCGGTCGTTGACTAGTAACGAATCTACGTGTCACAATACCTTTCTTCAGCGCTTTCTGTTTAAAAATGTGTACCCTTGGACGCGTGCATCGCCGTCATCTGGATGTCGCTCTATTAATCTGCTCTCATTTCGCCGCTGGGACCTGCTTAGGTTCTCTTACGGCACACAAATACACCGTATGCACCCCTAATTACAGGCCGCGTGTGATTATTGGAAAGTTTCAGGTTTCCGTGAAACTTGATATCGTTCAGTTGCCCAGAGATCCTTCTACCGCGCTCAGGCATCGACCCACGTGATCCGGCCAACAATGCTCTTCTCTTTTGTTACGTCATTAATCAGATTCCAGCCCTCCATCGGGCACCTACACACGATCACTGCTTGAGGTGTCCGGAATTGTTTCTAATTTGTGGAACCACTGACGTAATGGGAACCCTCAGGGCGTCATTGCGCAGGCGCTTAGTCGCCGGTTTCTCACCGCGGCGAACCGAGTTCAGTCCCACACCCACACACACCAATATACACAAGTTCACACAAGTACCTACACTAACATATATCACACAAAACTACACACACCAATACACACTAACACAGCCACACAAACATACATCACATAAACCAACACACTAACATATTCACACACATCAATGCAGACAAGTCCATACATATTTACACATCCACACAAATACCCACACCTACATACATCACATAAACCCACACACACCAATACACACAAGTTCACACACACTAACATATCCACAAAAGTACCTACACTAATATATCACACGAACCTACACACACCAATACACATGTTCACACACACTAACATATCCACACAAGTACCTACACTAACATACATCACACGAACCTACAAACACCAATACACACAAGTCCACACACACTAACATATCCACACAAGTACCTACACTAACATACATCACACGAACCTACACAACACCAATACACACAAGTTCACACACACTAACATATCCACACAAGTACCTACACTAACATACATCACACGAACCTACACAACACCAATACACACAAGTTCACACACACTAACATATCCACACAAGTACCTACACTAACATACATCACACGAACCTACACAACACCAATACACACAAGTTCACACACACTAACATATCCACACAAGTACCTACACTAACATACATCACACGAACCTACACAACACCAATACACACAAGTTCACACACACTAACATATCCACACAAGTACCTACACTAACATACATCACACGAACCTACACAACACCAATACACACAAGTTCACACACACTAACATATCCACACAAGTACCTACACTAACATACATCACACGAACCTACACAACACCAATACACACAAGTTCACACACACTAACATATCCACACAAGTACCTACACTAACATACATCACACGAACCTACACAACACCAATACACACAAGTTCACACACACTAACATATCCACACAAGTACCTACACTAACATACATCACACGAACCTACACAACACCAATACACACAAGTTCACACACACTAACATATCCACACAAGTACCTACACTAACATATATCACACGAACCTACACACACCAATACACACTAACACAGCCACAAAAACATACATCACATAAATCCACAAAAGCGCGCGCGTGCGCAAGCACACACACACTAACATATTCACACAAGCACCTACACCAATACGCATCACATACACAACCACGCGCAAATACACATAGAAACCCCAACACGTGCATTCCATTTCATCACCCTTGCAATATGTGGCGAATGTAAACATTGAGTCTCACGCACTTCGAAGATCTCATTCGTTACGAGGTGTCAGGAATCTCCAAATGTCAGCCACAACTTCAGTGTGAGTGAATTTGTCCTTAAATTATACCACTGTTACTCGGCGCGTTCATGAGGTGTTCGTAGCGAGTGGGATGATGATGTAGCGGTATTCCGTAGGCGCTTGGATCGAATCTCGGCTGGAACGCCAGTTATCCTAATATCTTTCTTGATTTTCTCACATCCTTCAGATAAATGCCTGGATATTATGCAGAATAGGCCATTACCGCTTACTAACAAATCTTTTCCGCTTCATCTGTCGTACCATTCACCGCTGTATAGTATTAACCACTCGCAATGCTGTGAAATAGCACATACCCACACCATGAAAGGAAGAAGTTATTTGGGAATGCAAAGTATCACCGATTGTCATCTCTTTCCTTTAGGGAATTAAGTGGCACCACATCACTGCATTTACTGAAACCGATAGTCGCGCGACTGTGCCTCTGCGCTGCTGATCGACTGTAGTGCGCGCAGCTTGAGCTCTCAATTGGCTAAAATCGCGTGTCATTTGTCTGCGGTGCTTGGCGCGCGCGTTGTGTTAGAAGGCCTCTGCTTGGGAACTCGGCCACCTGCATCGCTTGCTGGGTAATTTGCAGGCTTCAGATCAGAAGGGTAGAGAGAAGTTTAGATCCCACCCCAGACAAATGAGCCCCAAACATGGAAACCCTACAACATTAGTTTACTGCACTGCCTCCCCGTAATGATTTTTTCTTCTTTTTCTTCTGTGCTAGCTGAACACGCAGTTCGGATTTGCAGCTTCATCCACAGGAGCCCTCAGACTGTCTTACTAAGGCGCGAGTCTCACATGCGTCTGAATTTACTTGATGCAATTTTACAATTGCTGATATCCCCTCTTTTGGTCCCAGGAAAGTAAGAGACTCTGCGTGTAATTCCAGCTGCAATTGCTACGTTCTTACCGCGACCCCAGAGAATATTCCTCTAAGCCAGGAATAAAACAATTATTTTCGTTGTGTTCTTAAAAGTGTTCGCAATCTAAATCTTCTCCCCTTCCTAAAATATCCGCATCATAATCACTGGCAAAACGGCACTTTTTGAGCCATAACCTTCCTTAGAACATTTTGCAGATTTGATTTGGTTTTCACTTTTTTTGGATTTCGTAAATAATAATTTTTGACGAAGGAAAGCCGTCAGGCTTGCGTCCGACCCCAAATCTGGAGGGAACAGATCTCTGTATTTACGTCCCCCAGTGACAGAGTGGTTCAGTTACACCCTCAAGCACCGGGTCCCCTTTTCGTCGCCCTCTGCGACTCGCTGGGCTACGGTGCAGGTGCACTGACGTGCCTCAACACGGGGAAAATATTACTTTAAGCGCTGTTATGAAACATTTCTTTCTACTTTGAGGAAACACAGCCTGAGCGGATTTGAAAACAAACCGCTGAAAACCATTCACGGAACTTGCGTCTCACTTCGGTGGAAAAATGATTAAAAATTACTTATCTTATATGTGTATATGTATCTTCGCAACAGTAGTAACAATGCAGCGGCCATGCAGCTCGAATGAGAAATATACCGGAATATTATGAGAAACTGTTCTGCGAATATCGCGTGTATAGTAAATAAACGCATATTCCAGTCGGTGATAGGCGTGACACGCTGCGTCGAATTCTGATTCTGTCAGCAGAGAGTATAGGCTTCACACGCTGTAGCAACCAGAGAGTATAGGCTTCACACGCTGTAGCAACCAGAGAGTATAGGCGTCACACGTTGTAGCAACCACAGAGTAGAGAGAAAGAACCATTTTTCGTATATAAAGTTTTAGAGAAATAAAGGCAAAACTTAAGGAATTCGTGAAGCATTGAAGTTCTGTCTTCGAAATAAATACACACACAAAGAGTTACCGGCAATAGCCGTGTTTGAAAGAAATCCCCGGACGAAAACTCAGATTATGATTATGTACATCTGGATCAAATTTTCGTGTTTTGTGAAACAGTTCAATTGCCTTATATGACAATATTTATCATCACTCTATAATTTATGCATTCTTATGTTGCAGACGACCACAACTGGCCATTTAGGAACGGCAGGCGTTCGAACGTCAGCGCTTCCTGTGGTCGGTATGAGCAACTCTCTCCAACCGCTTTGCACTCTGGGAAATAACGGAGATATTGTTGATCGTCACTCCACTAACGGCGAGACGGGCAGTCATAGCAACAATGGATTTCTTCCAGCCACGACCGTGGCGCTCAGCTTCGACAGCAAATGAAATAGTTGCCACAAGAGGCGCCACCGTCTTAGAATCGCTGCAGGCCGTGAAGTGTTTACGGAAGGCCTTTCTTGGAATTTTGAAGTTTCGGCACTAGCTGTAATTATACCTTTCAGAATGGTGGTGGGTTTCAAATAGATTCTAACGGACATAAATTATTCAATTTCCTTGTGTCGTACATAGATTAAACTTAAGGACATTACATAAAGATGAGGAAATCACTGCGAATCGCCTTCAGCGTTTATTGATATTCTGATGATCTGTTGTGTAAATTGGATATTTATTGTGGCAATTGCACGAGCCTCTGTGTTCTGGAAGCAAACACTAATCTCTGTTGCAATGAACAGTGCCACATTGACAATGAACTCTGAGGCTCAATGCTGTGTTTGCTAAACCTGTGAACGTCGATTGTTGTGATGACCGAACTTTTAAAGGAACGGCTGAATACACACTATTCATGTAGGCGTCTGTACAGAATATATCGTCGTTATCTTCATGTGAACTATCTCCTGATTCATTCTGTTTCATTTCTCTTAGTTCACATTTTAAGAAACGCACAAGAACGCAAGTGTCCACGTGGCGAGAATACTGTTCCGTCGATCTGCAAAATTCTTACGAACCCTATATTCGGCACTAGTTTTTGTGGCGAACGTGTTTTCAATACTGGTACATACAGTGTGTTCAAATTATGTATGGTGAACTCGATTATTCGACTTCTACTGGCTGGACGCAAATAATACTAAAGAGTGACTTTTGTTTTGATAAGAAGCTGTAAGTGGAGTATCCTGCAAGCGTTACGGGTGAATTGCGTCATTCTAGAGTGACCTGAGTTTTTCCGTTACAATGGAACCGACAGGAACTTACTCATCACTGAGAAGACTACACGTCTGGCAGCAGATGTCAGTTAAGTTCAGAAGGACGGCATGCTATCGGATATACTCCATTCTAGACTAGTATGTAGACGGGATATTCATCGTGCAGATCTTCACTACGTCTCCTCACACAGAGATGTCACTGTGCAGGGCGACATCCGAGTGTATTCGAAATATTTAAGCTCTAGAATCGAATATCAGTCTCCTATAAAATAAGTCTCATTATTTTGGCCAGTTTATTGACTGTATCCGTTTGATCCACAATAACCTGACATCAATGCGCGTCTCTTTTTGACCGTCGAAATCGGATATTTCTTTGAGTCGATAAAATGTTCCTTAGTTTTAATAAATACGATGTAAAGAAAATTAGTTATACAGAGTGTGCTGTTCAAAAATCAATCCGAACAGCAATTCCGTATTAGGGTAAAGAAATGAAATTAGTAGCTGTCTGCATCATCTAACGGAATCTCCTAACTTTCTCGTGACACTCAAGTCAACGTGACCCTGGTTGCTAGACTATTGCTGTCGCCATTTCCGCAGAAACCAGCATGATGTAACGATCCCTGTAGTGACAAGGACATGCATAACAAATCAACAATACTGATACCCATAATTACTGGGGGTTTGGACTTCGTACATCGTCCGGTATTCCAGGAGCTAGAAAACGGCGTTTCGGAAATTGGATCTGTTTCTGTGCTCAGACATACTCTGTTGGGTCACTCAGAAGAAGCTAACTTCAGTGCCCCCTCACCTGAGGGTGGAAACAGATCCAGTTTCCGAAAGTTGTGTTTACTAGTTTCTAGAATACCGGACGATGGACAAAGTCCAAAAACCCAGTAATTCTTAGTATTATACACCACTGTCAGAACCCTTTACAAACCAATACTGATACCGCCTGTAAACTTGCATATACTGTTGCAGTTTGTGTTCCTCTTAAAACAGTACACCCTGTATAAAATGACAAATCTTCTATTATATTTAGTGACCTAGATAATAACCTGATATGATTTTCAGTATAGTGCATCTCATTACTGGTTTCTTTAAACAGAGTTCATAACTGTAACGCACAGAAAATGGATACTGTCTAAACAAAGTGCTGTGGTAGTTGCAGTACACAACGTGTTACACAAAGGGTCTAATGTTTCTGCAGTTAGATGAGCAATATTTAGGTTACTCGAGGTCTAAAGCAGATTGTGACCTTGCTGAAGTGATTTTGAAGAGTCGTCAAGATTTAGGAACTACGCGTAATACAAGATACTTAGGGGCGCTGTTGGAAACTGAACCGCCCATATTTGTAATAGAATAGACAACGTTACTACTTGCGTGCGGTAAAGCTGTGAATCATGTCCACATGTTACGAGCAACTTTGTGTATCATCTTCAGAAAGAAGCAACCGATGTTTTTCTGCAAAAGAAAAGGAACCTCGACGTCTGATGGGTCAGAAACTTTGGTTCTCTTTATAACCACGATTTGTTCTGCGGATCATTTTGATGAATCATATAAATATAAAAAAAAAACTTTTAAGTAAGAGCTTTCACGGCGGTGACTATGAAGAATGCCGTCTTCTGGGATGTGGCGCCATGTAGATCTTGCGTGAACGGACGTTTCGGAGGAATTATCACCTCCACTTCAGGTTATAAAAATCCGCGAGCAAACAGGTGGCTACAGAGACCGCTTTACCCCCGAGAAAAGTTCCCAATTAGACAAAAGGCTGGTTGGGCCACAAACTTGTCTGGACGACGTGGAGAAGATTTTTGACGCTACCGAGACTCAAACTCCGACCCCTTGGTCGTCCAGCCCATAGCCAGTCGCTATACCGACTGAGCTATCCCGGAGAAGTACGTACATAATTACTGTACAAGGACTTTGAATATTCTCGTCCACATGGACTTCTGGCTTAGCCTGTATAATTACACAAAACAATGCAGTACTGTGAGCAGCGAATAGAACTTCCCCAAAGGCCTGCAAGACACATTACAGGCAAACGTGCCACAATGGAGAAAGAAATCTTCCCATAATGTAGGAATTGTTATTACTGATATATCACCTGTCACCCAACCGGTGGTCAAGCCCCGCAAGTGCACCGCGCCCAACTGGCTGACATGTTTATCTTCTTAACTGTATTGAGCTCAAGGAAAGATAGGTGACTGGACGGAAGTTCTCATGGAGCCGAATTTGGATAATTTTCTGGTGGGATATGACACCGAATACTCTGTAGCAGCTAACCGACGTTTCGGAGGATCGTACTATCTCCATCTTGAGGATAAAATATATGCTAAGGGAGCAACTGGAGAAAAAACTAGCTACACTGAACTTTAATTGTTTCTTGCATCCTGTTGTGTATTTAATCAATATTGGAGTCAATTTTACCGACCACATAACATATTTTTATTATTATTATGTGTAATTATACAACTGTGTTCGTACACCTGAGGATGACCTCTTGAGGTCGAAACATGTAGTGTAATAATAATAAAAATATGTTGCGTGGTCGGTAAAATTGACTCTAATATTACATTGAACTTGCCGCCCAGGAGGTGCAGCGCTAAGTAAAAAAGTGTCATTACGGTCCGGAACGCAATTCCAGGTTGAAATAGAAGTATGTATATCATTATGCATGACCGTTACAGTCACTCTACGACAAGTGTACACTACGTTCGCTACAGGGAGTCAAAAAGCGGCTACTCAGATGTCAGAGTCGGTCAGAGCCGGTAATGTAGATAACGCTGACAATCAGAGCCAATCTAACAAACAACTTTTAAATAAAACTCACAAGATAATAACAAATTTAACAAAAACAACAGCTGGAATTCGTGCCATAAACAGAAAACCCCTGCAAGAACACACAGTGACACAGCAAAGGGGGGGGGGATTATAAAGAAATATAGGCCTACAAATTCAGAAAATTGGGGCCCGTNACAAAACAAAAGTGGGGCAAACTCACCAGAACACAATTTGAAAGCCAGCAAAGCCGTACTATCTCGAAGCACTGTTGGAATACAAGTACACCGGCCCCAACGGCCCCACCGGCCAGCAGCCGCGATGGGACAGGTAAATGGGTCAGATGGGAGGAGGAAGGGGGTGTAGGAAAAGAGGGGTGAAAGAGCAGAAAGGAGGGAGTGGCACAGAGTAATAAACAGGACATTACAGCTAGAACTGAATGAAAAACACAAACGTATTTCAGAATACTAACGTCTCTATGTCTCAGGCTGGATATTAAACAAACTAAAAGAATTTCGCTTGATATTAGTGTCTATAAAACTCGAGTCCGAGAGGAGCTCCGACACTAAAAAGCACCAGGACACCGCTCTGCACTTCCGTGACGCGATTATACACCAGTTCAGAACATTTTCGACCATGATGATGGAATCAGTAGTTCCTCGGACATATTGGCGAACTATACGTCGCCAGATCCCACAAGTAAGTCTTCAAGTGATGTGTGTCTCTTTCCTGGTTCGAATCGGATTTTAAAGCAATGATGCTCACGTTACGAGCCACTGAATTTATCAGGAGACTGCGCGTCGTTATGGGAAGCGAAACAGAATGAGTAAAAGTTAAACGTAAATTTGTCCCTGTGCTTAATTACTTAAATTTCTTAATCCCATACGCAGTAGGTAGGACTCCTTGGACGGGGATCAGCCCGACGCAAGACCGCTACCTACACACAGAATAAACGCAACCAGATCCCAGCGTTCGAGCGGGAGAAGACAGTTCATGCCTTAGACCGCGCGGCCACTGTCATTGGCAGAGTGGAGATAAAACTCCACCAAAATAAAATAGGGAAGTGGAGAAAAAAAAAAAGCTAGTGACAGAGTTCAGAGGGAGGAAGTCAGTCAGGTCTGAGGCTGAGAGCCGTGAAGACAATCTTAGGGAACAGCTTTATCCTCAGTACTTGTTAAAACTATATAAAGAAAGTGAATTTTTGCTTCCCGGAAATTATCAATTGGTATATCTAACATCTGCGTGATTTATATTTTAAATGCAATATGTCGAACAAAGTACACACTGTTACGTAGTTTTGGAAAATACATCTGAAAGTTACAAATGTAAAGTGCATTGATCGAGGCAGCAGCTCATAAAATGTGATGACTGCTGGCCGAGGTGGCCTTTCGCAGGGGGGAGGGGGGGTGCAGGACGTGATCCGCATTCTAACGGCCCATGTGTGAACTATTCATACGACAGTTGACTAGGGAAATAACTCAGCTTCCATCTTAAACAGCTACTGCTCCCATTAATGCTCAATATTGCATGACTTCATGTGATACAGTGTATTCTTCCAGGCCACGCTACATTCGCTTCGAAAAAACTCAATGTTCTTGGCTTTGATTCTTCGGTTACTGGAAATGTAATTCCAAACATAACCTCAAATAATCAACAGAGAAAGTTTTTGACATCCTCATTCCATATGGTTTATTATTATTATTATTATTATTATTATTAGAGGGGGAGGGTTTCCCCATGCACTTTGACCAGTTATTGGTCCTTTAATTTCTACTGTCGCCATACTCTACCGATACTGGTGCGTGCTATCAGCCCCGTGCAGCCAACGAGGTCGGCCCTCGGTACCTGATATTTCCCCCATCTACCAGAGGCATTGGAAACTACTTGGGCGGGAAACTTGTTACCTAATTTTGCTCAGAGGTCTCCTAGAGACATGAGGATCTTTTACGTGCCTCCGTCCCGGAGGACTTGTTCCCTGAATTTTTCCGCCCTTAAAAATTCCACGACCTCCGCCGGGTTTGAACCCGCGTACGTTGAGTCATGAGATGGGAACGTTACCCCTAGACTATGGAGGCCGCTTTCCATAAGGTTTCCTACAGCGATATTTTTTTTTCGAATGCTATTCCTCGTAAAATGTTACTAAGATACATACCTGCAAACTGATTAAATTGTATTTAGAATGGCTCAAACCCAGGCTATCAAAGATCGATACCAGTGAGTAAAAATGTTAAACAAATGTCTACTAATGACATATGACCTGTCTTCATATTAAATTTCTGAATAAAAGTATAAGCTAAATGTTTATGTAAAGAACTTGTAAGATATTACCGTACAAGTTCAACCATCAACGCAACAACTTTTATTAATTTTGGTCACGTGTTTTCAACACGGCATAGGAACCAAAGATGCTATATTATAGATCTCGTCAGACATAAGGCTTTCTTCTGCAAAGTTGTGCAATCAATGTATGAGCTACCCTCAAACATGATGCACAGTCTACAGTAGGCATATAATGAGATCACACACAGCAAAATTTGTAAACAAGTTAAATGTCTCTATCTGTGAATACTTCACATACGTAAAGACAGATGTAGTTATCTGTCGCCGTACTGTATTTCAGATACATACAAGTTTTCGACAATTATCAACAAACCGAATATCTAATATAGTCTAGTTATGAAACAATTGTCTTAAAAATAACCACATATTCTCCTGGTGTAAATAATAGGCCGATACAAGGCAATGCAATACACTAAACCCTCGCTAATCCGGATTAATTGGGGGAGAGATCATCCGGATAATCTATAATCCGGATGAATGAAGCAAAACGTAGCCCTAGAAGAACAAAAAAAAAACCCCCAGAACACAAATAAATTGGAAATTTAATAATATCGGTAGTCTGATGAAAATAAATAAAATGTATCACTGCAGAAATTTCTTCCTCTCTCAGAATCTGAGACCCAGGGTCTACTTCATACAACTCAAGCCAATTTTTGATATTTTCTTGCATGATTTCAGGCTCTCCAGCTGCCCTCAACACGGTCTGAAATTCCTCTCGCTCCTAAATGCGACAGGCTTTTGTACTACGTACTCAACTATGAACAGACTTTCTCATTTTTCATGTTTTGATCAGGATTATCCGACATCCGGATTAGCGAGAGTATGCTGTAAAACCAAAATGCTACAGTTACACACTCGATACTCAAAATTCTGTCTAATCCACGCCCAAGCAAGACACGACGCAAGTTCTAATGAACTGATAAGCAAGTCATGGACGGAGTGTGCTGAAAATGGAGCAGGAGTCGTCTACAGGTCAAGTTTGCTAACAGAAATGTAACTATTGCGTAATGTCAAGCAAATGGGGCACCATGACGTTGCAACTAGTGCTCCGGCTTTCTATTCGGAAGATCCTCCTGTCTAATTTAAGCCAGCATGATTACTGTGATTTCCAGCGTTAGCTGGACTGCCATTCCACACTCCATAAATTCACCTTTGTGATCTTGGTCACAGTTAGCACGCCTGTAATTAGGCAACTCGACAAACAAAATTTTCCGATAAATGAGAACCTTCATTAGAGATCAATATATGTATGTGTCTGAAGACAATCGGGGCACCACCTGCACTTCTTCGAAAAGGGGCGGAAGTTATAGCTAGCTTCTAGAAGAAGCAAGCCAGAAAAAATCGCTTACAAAATTAATTTTAAGTCACTTAAGACTGTATTTGTTGATTAAAACTTTGATTTTTTTTTGTATTATTATTTGGAGTCTTTGCTTCAATTTTTAATTACATTCTCTTCCAAAACTCCGGGTCAGGAACATGCCTGCTTGGTCTCCTCCTCTGAAAGTACCCGTACCTGCCATATTATGGTTACATAGCAAATGACTTCTTATGAAATTGGGTATCAGAGGCCCCTTGCCGGGGGTAAATCGCAGGGAGTGAAGCTCACCATTCACTCCCATCTAGTTTTGAGGTCAAGAATGGTGGAGCCATACCTCCACTCCCCCATGTCGTCATGACATAGTTACTAATTAAGCACAGGGACAGCTTTATCTCAGATTATTTCAAATTACTTCAGGGTGAGAGTTAAATTTAACATTGTAGCACTCATTAGAGTTTGGGAACTGTATATCCCACAAAACAGGAAATCTGATTGGTTTGTAATCAGCTCCTAATCTCCCTGTGAACTTGGATCGTGCAACATGACTGTCTATACGTGGACAACACGTGACTGCTGCTTCCTGTCTTGTGAGTCACACCCTGTGCAGTTATACCAACATGTGACATGGCTTGGAGATGTCGCCAGCGGAACACAGCACTATACGTACAAATGAGATGTATACCAGATTGTAGACTGAATGTACCCAGTGTAAAATAAACTATATACCGTTATCCTGGCTCGATTTCTCTTCTAGCACATCAAAAATGCAGCTACTGAAGATTCGTATTACTTATTATATTGTTACTCATAAAGCGCGGAAGGAAAAGGAATGCAGACGAATTGCTTAAATGTTTCAGAAGATTACCGGTCCCTGCACTTTTGATGTTACAAACTGAAATTACTGAAAGAAAAACGTGGTATAGCCAAGAGCGTAGAAGCTTTTTCCTTATAAAGCACAGAGAAATCCTCGAATGAATTTCCTAGATCTATCCCTTTAGTAGGCGCACTTCCCGATCTCGAAAACACAAATTGAAATACTGTTGTATTGTGTGACGTATCGCGCTAAGGAGGACATCCCCTCTCCGCCAGCGGTGACGTAACAGTATGTTCTCCTTATTTCTTCCGTTTCTTGTGCATGAATGGGCTCAACCTCTGAAGTAGAGCGGTAATTCTGCGCACTACATGCTTCAACGCTGGCTCATGGTAGCGTACTTGGTTAATTCTGCGCACTACTTGCTTCAACGGTGGCTCGCGGTAGCGTACTTGGTTAATTTTGCGCACTACTTGCTTCAACGGTGGCTCGCGGTAACGTACTTGGTTAATTCTGCGCACTACATGCTTCAACGGTGGCTCGCGGGAACGTACTTGGTTAATTTTGCGCACTACTTGCTTCAACGGTGGCTCGCGGTAACGTACTTGGTTGAGGCACTATGCTACAAGCCGAAGTGTCGCGGTTTCGATTCCCCACAAGGTCACTACATTTTTCAAAGGACCTAATCCTTCCAGCCGCATTACCGCCTTGGTGGTCGACTCAGCCCCTAAAGCAAATGAGTACCAGGGTAAAGGGCTGCCGGCGCGTA